AAATGTCTTTGGACAACACTGGCTCTGACAACTGGACATGGAAAACTTTACGTTTATGTAGTTGTATTTTTTAAAAAATAGGAAGCACAAAACTGTAAAATTATCTTTATTTCCAAGATTGTTACAGGACCCCAGAGTTTGTAAGCATGCTCAGAAAATAAAAAGAGATGGAGGGAAGGAGGGGGGGGAGAAAGAAGGAAAGAAAGAAAGAAGGAAGGAAAGAAAGAAAGAAGGAAGGAAGGAAGGAAAGAAAGAAAGAAAGAAAGAAAGAAAGAAAGAAAGAAAGAAAGAAAGAAAGAAAGAAAGAAAGAAAGAAAGAAAGAAGGAGGGAGGGAGGGAGGGAGGGAGGGAGGGAGGGAGGGAAGGAAGGAAGGAAGGAAGGAAGGAAGGAAGGAAGGAAGGAAGGAAGAATACTAGCTATTATATGTCCATAACATCCTTCCAACATTTTTAGAGATGATCATAAAATTTTAATATTTATCATCAAAAGAAATAAAATGAGAATGTAGCATTTTCACTGGATCATTGCCAGTCCACTGAATGAATAGAAGGGCTTGTGATATGGCACATGGCATTCTGCACCTTGGCTCACAGAGCAAAGTAGATCCACTAGATTTGGCAAGTCAGTTTTGACTTCTGGCAACTGCCTGGACTTTTTCCTACAGCTGAGAGTGTGACTGGCCCCAGATCACCCAGCTGGCTTCATGCCCAAGTCAGGATTAGAACTCACAAATTCCTGGAAGTGAGCTGCAACTTTATGCCTTTTAATAAAACATATTAGTTTAAAAATGTATTAGTTTAACTTCTGATTCCATCCTTCCTCCAGTGGACTGAAAATAACTTTCATATGTTGAGCAATAAGGTCACATTACAACTTAATGCTGATAGGATTATTGAAACCGGCACCCAAATCGTATTGCAAAAGACAAAACTCTTTAAATATTTAACCATTTTTATTTCAGGTTTGCCACTGACACACAAATAGCAGAAAACTGACATATAGTATACATGGTATACACCAAGCACCCAGTACCATAGGCATTTCCATCCTCTTGCTGTACATTTTGCAAAAGAACTATTAAAAACCCACATACAATTAAAAGCCCTTCTCTCCCCCCCAATATCGCCAGAACCAAAACAAGGAGTTCAGTGCTATATAGTTTACGAGACTCAACTGTTGTGGAAGTGAAAAGTTTAAGGCAAGCCTCTGAGAAACATGATAGGCCAATCCATGAATAAAGGGGGAGGACAAATCTTTAAAAACATCCAACCAGATCCCTCCTGGGGGAATCAATATTCCGCTTGAGGTCTGTGCTTAATCTATATTTACATTACTGATGCGTTGTAGGATATTCCCTCCTATTTTTTATATTTAAGATATTCTGAAACTCTTTGGGCAAGTCTAAGGCTCTTCAATTTCAAATTTCGGAATTCCATGGAATGGGATGCCCCAAAGATGCTTTTTCCGAAAGACAATTGGACTTTGTTTTTCCTTCAACACGTTTTGCTTCTCATCCAAGAAGCTCCTTCAGTTCAAGTCAGACTTGAGGAAGCTTCTTGGATGGGAATGAAATGTCTTCAAGGAAAAAACAAAGTCCCATTGCCTTTTGGGGGAAAAAAAGCACATCTGGGACAACCATGACCTGGATGACTGAGGATTTTCACAGACAATGGAATGTAATCACAACTCATCTTAACCAGGGTAAAATAGATACTTACATTTTTGCTAGATGAGTAACAAGGGCACAAAATCTTTTGACACTGACACATTTATCAATCTAAAGAAAAAAAATGAGATCCCTTTGCAAACAATAATTACATTGTGATTCAGGTGTATCTAGGCAGGGTATGTTTGTGAAACCCCCCCCCCCCCCAAATATACACACATCTGCAAAGATTTTGGGAGAAGACAAAACAGTTGAGTTGGTGGACATAACTAGAAACCTAAATTAGTTGAACAGCTGTTTCTTCTCCCCAAGGGAATTTGGGAAACATAGCTGTGTGTGTCGAGAACTGTAACTTCTTACTGACATTTCTCATTATCCTTGCCAAACTACAATTCCTAGGATTCTTAAACAGCTCACATACACACAAACACAAATACGCACGCCATATTTATAGGAGGAAGACGGTCGCCTTCCACTGTCTGTCATTTGCTTTCCTTAGAGACGCAGATATTGTACACCATAGAATTAAATGGACTTAGTCATCCCCTTTCTCTAAATAATGAGAGCGATGGATTTCATAATGTCTCTTTACCCTATCGACTCTGGAATCGTTTAGAGAAAGCCTTGGCAGGGTAATAAAAAAATTTAAAACGGACAAAAGCCTGTGGTGTAATCAGAACCAGAAACTGACCTGACAATAAGAGGAAGTATGAATTTTTATGAGCTGGCGGGAGCCAATACATCTATCTGGAAGATTAGTTAGGCTTCAGAATCTTTGACATTGTTCTCCAGCATCTGAAGTTTAGAGCCTCAGAACAGCCATGCGGGAACAGGTCCACCAGTAACTGGTTCCACAGCCCCATATTCCCATAAATATTCAGTGACTCATGCTTCCTTTGAGTGTGGAAGTGTGTCACAACCAGCATGACACATAGAGACAGACCATGATTGATTATTCCCCGTGAGCCAATTGAAAAAACAAGTAATAGTGACCAAGACCAGCTGCAAATTTGACAAGTGACGTCTAAATAGAAAAAAAAGCTTTGAAATGAGTTTCGAAAAGCAAAAACTGTTACACAACCTAACTTTCCTATTTAGTGACATTTACAATTTTTACAGCGGACAGATAGTACTTTCTGGAATTTCTCATCTCTAGAGACGCACTGGAATTACTAACATAATCAAGTTCCTATCCATACCAAAAAAAAACCTATATATTATTGTCTTATGCCAGGTTAGCTTGGCAAAAGCAATGGGGGGGCGAGAGAAAACAAGATCAATGAACTCCAGTCTGCACCAATATCAATCTTGCTTGAGTACATGCCATAGCCCCCCTTTTTTGAGTAAAATCAGACAGTCAACTTTTAAAAAGTTAGCTGAATTCTCTGAACATGATAATTAAATTGATAAAATTTGAACCAAAAAACCCTCTTAAATGTAACAGGGTTGATATTTTCAATATGAATGCTTTCACATTAAAAGTGTGTGTTGGAAGTATGAGAAATTTCTGGTTTGTTTTAATCTGTTAATTTTAAAATTAACAGGTTACTTTTAGAACCCTTCAGAACTTTTTGATCTTAAATTCTATACAAAGGTCTAGAAATAACAGCAGTCAAGCACCTTGGGATTACAGTAACACTAGAGAAGAACAACAGAAACAATTATGTCCAATCCAGAAGTTTACCACTCTATACTCTACACTATTGGCCAATGAATCTTCATAATTCTTCTTCCTACCATCTCAAGGTCAGGAGAAGCCCTCCCATAAAAGGTCTAATTTTGCTCCTCTAAAAAGTATCTTATGGTTTCTATGGAGCCATTTCAACAGGTTTGGATACGACCGCATAGAACGTAAGTCCCTGTTCCCTTTGTTCGTGGGTTTTGTGAGTATAACACAGTTTTTTTTAACTTGTAAACATTCTTGAAGGAAAGAGAGGAATGGTCCTATTTTTTTGTAAATAGAAATCCTATTCAAAAATAGAACAAAAAAAACTCATATCAGAAGCACCATTTCGAGGGGGAAACCCTAATTCCTCTCTTTGCTACATGCGGCTGAAAAGAAGCCCATGATTATTTTTGGAGAAGGCATGAAAAATCTGGAGGAAGAATTCAAAGTCCTAGAAGTTCTAGGAGAAATTGCCTTTCATCAAGATACACATTTGAAACCAGAGAAGACTTTGGCTTTTATTTCTACTCCAGACTTCAAAGGTGCATTTTGGGAGGGCGGGGAAATTCTCAACTACTATTATAGAATCCACAAATATGAAACTCAACTTGTGGAAGGAAGTGGAAAAACAAGCGGTGATGGGTGGTAGCTATCAAGACTCAAGCTTCCATTGAAAAAAAAAATCCAGGACCAAAATATTAAGAGATGAAAACTCCCTGAGGCCAAAGTTCTTCCATCCTAGGACTTTAACACTTTAACACTCTCTAATACTCCATTGTGATGGGTTTCTCCTGAAGGTTTCATGGGGCATCTGCAGCTCAAAGCTCCCATGCATTTTACCCCAGAATATAAATCCTCTTGGAAGGCTTGGAGAGTACCTGTAAAAGAATGATCACTGACACATATCTGCTCTCTTTCACACAATGCTATGGAAATTGGACTGTCTTCCAGAGCATTGTCAACATCTGTTTTCACATGCAGATATTAGGAATGGCATGTTGTTTGCCTATTAATTTGTTCCTACACTGCCAAAGGCTAGTCTAATGATTGCTATAAGACATTCCAGCATCTACCTAAGAATATTGTCTAGGGTTCCCAAAGAAAGATGTAGAAACTGCATCCTAAACCAACAACCCTAAGATTACAAAATCAAGGACGTTGACTCTGGATAGTGTTTTACTTCACATATCATTTGTCCTGCCCAGCTTTGCCTTAGGGTGAACTATAGGACTGCATTCCCACCTGATCTATCTTATGGGACGGTATGGACCAAATACTACCCTCTAAGCTATTTATATTATTCAGGAATATTCTACTTTTCATGAGATGGGAACTATATTTTTTTACATACCTCCAGGTTGAAAAACAACAGCTATTCCAACAATTCAATTTTAGTTTATAGAATTTATACAGAAAACATTAAGGTGCAATATCACCATGATAGGTTTTCAGCACCACAAAAAGAGGATGCCTCTATATTACAGATAAGATTGTTGTTCAATCTAACAGAATAACAGAGTTGGAAGGGACCTTGGAGGTCTTCTAGTCTAACCCCCTGCTCGTGCAGGAAGCCATATACCATTTCAGACAAATGGTTATCCAATCTTTTCTTTAAACCCTCCAGTGTTGGAGCAGCCACAACTTCTGGAGGCAAATCGTTCCACTAATTAATTGTTCTAACTCTCAGGAAATTTCTCCTTAGTTCTAGGTTGGTTCTCTCCTTGATTAGTTGGGCATGAGTTACAACTATACTTTCTCCTTTACTTTCTGATCATGTTCAAGCCCTCCAGGAGAATCATCCTGGGAGCCTTTCAGTTCATCTCCTTTTCATTATTTTTCCATACAAAGAACAAAGCTAGCCTGGCCTGGATCCAAAATCCAACGTTCAGGTGTTCAACATGTATTTTGCAGATGTACTATGGAGTGGAGAATTCTAACCTGAAACAGTGACCCCTGTAAGATATGTGGGCTTAACTAATGAAAGCAGGGAAGAAAAGTCAAAAGATGCATTCCTGTTCACTAAGGAACAGAAAAATAAGATGCAGCTCCACCTTACCCGATATGGTAGTTCTCTTGACACGAACCATGAGAAGCAGGCAAAACTTCAGAGGCAGTTTGGTCCAGCACCATTAAAATGTACATTGCTCATAAATGTTAATTGGTAACTACCAATCAGTGACTGGCTATTAGTCCTGCATGGAAGTATGAACCCCATGTGTGTCTAGAGACCTGCAATTCCACCAGAGCTAGGATATCACTTTCTTAGGGATACCATGTTATACTCATGGAAATCTTACAATTCTTTCATTCTAGGTTCAATGGTACTTCCTTATGGTCCACTATAACCCGAGGAGTTGAAGGAGGTGGGTGGTCCTAAAAGTCCCTTTTATATTTTAGATCTTTTTTTATTATTTTAGAAAGGATTTAGAGCCATGGCTCTAAGGAATCACCTTCCTAGTCTTTGGTCCATCTCAAGATAGTGCTGCTTTTCAGTTCTGGCCTTGCCTTCTCCATCATACATGGCTCAATGGTGATAATTTCTAGGAGGTTTGGGCAATTTCGAGGTAGTTGTTTACTTCTGCTTTACCACTAAGTGACTGGATGGTCACAACCTCTATAAAGCCCCCTTCTTATTGGTACTCTTCTTCTCCCCTCTTAGAATGTTCTTGGTCAAAATGCACTATGTAGCGGACCTCCTGCTGGATCCCACTCCCTCCCCCCCTCCAGAGGCTATTTTTACACTTTCAGCCACTTGATCACCGAGAGTCAGAAAGTAGCACGTTTGACTTTGGTCAGTTGTGGAGACAGCCTGGTCAGCAAGGTCTCAGGGTGCAAAAGTCCAACTCCTGTGGTTTCTTCCTGAGGTTGCAGCGTTCGCGGGGCAGCAGGATGCCACCCCGCCCTGTGCATCTCAGTATGCGCCTTTTAAACCCCCTGCCACAAGTTTTGGAGCATGAGGACCAGGGAGATGCCTCCCAAGTTGGGCAAGGATCTCCACATATCCTGATGTCAACAGGCCTCTGAGTGGCATCACAAGAGGAGGCCAGCTGGCCAAGGACATCGCGACAGAGCACCATGCGTTTCTGAAGACCGTTGCCACAAGTGACTGAACAGTCTTCCCAGTTGGTGGTAGCCCATTTGTAAGCGGGGCGTTTGTAATCCAACTGACCCAGGTCCAGGCGGTTGGACAGGCTGAGAATACTGTTGTTGAGGACTGGAGGACGCTTCCCATCTTTACGGTGGTAGGAAGACTTGTCCTCTTTGCTTTCTTTGGGCAAGTAGAAGGAGTAGCGTACTCGAGGTGGTGTCATCTTCCCAACTGATAGCACTTCCACCGTCAGGGGTTCCTGGATGGGCATAAAGGCTTGGAGGCTTTCCACTGCTGTCCCTGTTCCACTATAGCGAATCACACTGCCCTTGACTATTAAGTCCCTTTCCATTGCGGAGACAATGAAATGCCCATTCAGAAGATATTTGCCATATGCATTCTTCAGGGCCAGGTAATTGTCATCACTAATCAGACCCTTGTAGCCTCTCTGACGGATGTCAATGCTGGAGGCACCAGCTGGGAGGAGCACCACAAAGTTGTAGCCATGCCTAGAAGAAAGACAAAAGGTAGAAGAAAGACAAGGCATTAATACAAGTTAGCAAATTCACCTAAGACAGGGGTGTCAAACTCAAGGCCCAGAGGCCAAATCTGGCTCACGGGGTGCTTAAATCTGGCCTGTTGGGCTGCCCTGGAAACAGCGAAGGACCAGCCTGCAATGCCTCTGCCAGCGAAAACAGAGCTTGTGAGGGCCGCATGCAGCCCTCCCGAGCTCCATTTTCACTGGCAGAGGGTTGCAGGAGGCCATCCCAGCTGAAAATGGAACTTGGGAGCCCGTTTTCACTGGCAGAATGCTCAGACCACCACAGGCACCCCGACATGAATGACATCATGTGACCACGCCCATCCTGGCCACGCCCCCCCTGCCCCCCCGCCCCAAGGTCAAACACAACCCTGATGCAACCCTCAATGAAATCAAGTTCGCACCCCTGACCTAAGAGATACTTGACTTGTGTTGGCCAAAAACAAGAGTTGCAAAGGTAAGACAATGATGCAAAGCAGGTGAACTCATGCCCTGTCCCTATACGGGACCACAAATTTCAGCTGATTTAATAGAGTTAAGCATGGAGAATAGATTTTGAGCTATGGGTTCCTGTAAGTTCCAGCACTGTGGGCAGTATTGGGGAATTTTGTAGACACACTCGGTTTCTGTCCTAAAAATGATGTGTTTGTTTTTCTCAAATGCCCTGCTTGTTCTCTCAGAAGGGTATGGCACGAACATAGCCCATTAATTTATGGTTCAGTATATTGGAAGGACGAAGAAGATGGGTTGATTCAGTCATTCAGTTAAGCATCTGATACAGATCTAGCAAAATATTGCCTTGTACTGAATCAGGACATTGGTCTAGCTAGATCCATTCAGTCTTCATGTGGGCCTTTCTGTGACTCTACCCAAAGTTCACTCACATGGGTTTGGTGAACAAGCCTGAAACTTTCTTGCAGCTTTTGTTGTCTCCTCCACACACACCACACTTGTCAAATTTCTTTTTGGAACCAAGTTTCCCATCGCACCCAGCTTTGATACATTTTCCCTGGACGCATAGCGAGCTAGAGTCTGGAGAACATGGTGTACCGTCCACCACCTGGAAATCAGAAAGATAAAAATAGAACCCAATGCTGCTTTAGTCAAATCTAGAAAGGGAGGGATATTGATCCGTTATCAATTTGATTTGGAAATAAATAATCATTGGTCATCCCTCCCCATGGTCTTAGCAACGGAAATGTTATCCTTTACTCTGCCCATAGAATCAAATTGTCCCACTTTTCACTAGAACTTTTGTTGTGTGGTAGTGTTCTGGTTAGCTGGCAGCAGGTGTGGATGGATGAGGAGAGGAGGACTCAGATGAGGGGCCAGGACCATCAGGGAGTAGACTGCTGCCTTCAGAGATTGTGGGGGCTGGCAGCAGCGATGAGGAGGTTCCCGAGGAGCCTGTGCCAAGTGCACATGCGTGCAGGATTGCTCGCAGGAAAGAGCAGCTACAACAGCATGGGCGACTCGGAAGTACGACTGAAAGGTAATGGCCCCTCCTTCAAGAAGATAAAAGCCAGCTGTGAAGCAAACAATCTTTGCAGGAAGCAAAGACATTTTGAAACTCAGCCTTGTGGGAATTACAGTATCTTAAGTTGGACTCTTGTGTTGTGAAATATTTCTTATCTGTGATTTTTGGTACTCTCGTACAATTTTGGCAAGGTTTGTGCTTATCAAAGTCAATTAGTTTGCAGCAGCCTTTTAACCAGGGATTCGTAAGACTCATTAAAAGGTTTCTGTTCCCTTTGATTATTGTTTGTCTTATTGGGAAAGGGTTTCGGTCAGAACAGGTTGAATATTCTGCAGTGCTACGCATGATGAATACCTGTACACGTACCTTGATTTTTTTTAAATATATTACTGAGATCTTGGGCACCGTTTGGAAGTGGAACAAGGATGAAGATTCAAAGCCACCAAAATGATTCCAAGTAGCATTTTAGCTTCATTGCAACACAGATAGTTCTTGACCTATGTCCGGTCACTTAACAATTGTTCAAAGTTATGATGGAACCCTGCTCCCCCAAAAAGCTAACTTAACAACCTGTTTTCATGGTCACAAATGCACCCCGCCCCAGTCAAACAATCAAATTATGGGCACTTGGCAACTACAAATTGCGATGTTTTTTTGCTGGTTTCCAGCATTTCCTTCCAGTTTCTAGCAAAATATACCACTTAGGAAAATTAAGCGGCTTAACAACCATAGTATTCACTTAAGAAACACTGGAGAAAAAATGTCAAAAAATCGGGTCTGGTCACAACTGCAACAACTTATGATTGCAATTCCAGGTTCAATTATGGTTATAAGCCAACTGTTTTATCATAGAGTTGTCCATGGCTCCCATTAAAAACTAAGGCTCTGCTTCACATGTAAGCAAGCAAGATGTGATTGAAAACATTACACAAATAATTGTGAACAGAAGTGTAGTATTATCACTGAGTACATTTGTAGGTTTAATGAATCCAAATGAAGAACAAGGGAAAGACAATCATTTGTCAATGTTTAATATAAATAAATTATGGAATTGCTCTCTTTCCAGGAAAATCTAAATACCTTTAATCACCCTTCAACAAACTTCCCTTTACAATTTCTCTTGTTCTCTAAATTGAAAGTCTATTAAAATACATTCCTTTCATTTTAAAATATCCTGTGGATGTGCTTCTTTTTTTTCAGCCATATCGCCTTTGTCCTAAGTCTGTGCTACCATCCAACTTTAGCAAAAAATAAAATAAAATAAAATGAATTAAAAATCCAGCTTACCTTTGGGGCTAAAACATAAAAGTAGCCAGTTCCATTGGCTCGACAGATGAGTTTGCATTTATCCCGGGGAGACACCCCAGAATATTTGGGGACCCAAGAAACAATAGCGGTGAGACGATTTGTGCTATGGTTGTAGCCATTGAAAGCTTCACATTGTTCTTCCCGAAAACTCTTCCCTGGAACTATGAGAAATGAGTTTCAGAAATGGTTTTAGGAGTTGGTTCCTACCATCACAAATAGAGGGACCATCTAGTGAATTTTCATTGCATGTGTTCATAAATACGGGACAGGAACATTGGAGGAAATCCAATACAGCTGAACATTTTTTCTCCATAATGCCTAGATTTTTATCCTGCTTTTATTTTTATAAATAACTTGAGATGGTGAGTTATCTAATACCTCCTTCCTCCTCACATACCTAATACTTACAACATGCCTAATGCCTCACCTAATATCTCCTTCCTTCTCCTATTGCCCCCACAACAACAATTCTACAAGTGATTTGGGCTGAAAGGAAGTGACTGGCACAAAGTCACCCAGCCGGCTTTCATGATTTAAAGTGGGACTAGAACTCACCATCTCCCAGTGATTGACCCAAAGTCACCTAGCCAGCTTTCATGCTTAAGGTGGGACTAGAACTCACAATCTCCCAGTGATTGGCCAAGTCACCCAGCCGGCTTTCATATTTAAGATGGGACTAGAGCTGGAAAAATGAACTGGTTTCTAGTCTGATGCCTTAACTCCTGGACCAAAACCTAGTGTAATTGTGGACTCCCCCTCCAAAGGAATGATCAGCCATCATGACAGTGCTGCCTTGGAAACTTCATTAAATCTCACCTGAAGCAAAGCAGGGATCCAAACCACAGGATCGATATTTAACTCGAACCCCTTCGCAATACTTCCCTTCATTGGCTGGAGGGGGATTGTTGCATTGACGTTTAGCCAGCTGGACACCTCCACCACACGTTCTTGAACAAGATCCATAAGGTGCCCATTTCCCCCAGTTGCCATCCACCTGTCAGGACATAAGACACTGAGCAGATACAAAACTCAGAACTCCCTGTTTTTTTTTTTTTTCTCAAGGAACACAATGCATTGGCTCGCTAGGACCATGACATGCCTACACGATGCTTTGTCAGCATTTTTAATAATCATCCGATTAGAAATCATTCATCTCCCTGGCATTTTGAAAGAGCTGACTCGTGGAAACTAATGAGCAATTAAATCAGCTGCTCGCGCAGATCTCTGCAATTTTCTTAAGTGGATTAAATGAAACCATAACAAAGCAAATCAGCAATGACTCAGGAGAATGTTGAGTACAACTCTCCAAATCCACGTGGAGTACAATAGTTAATTTAGATGCTTCCAAAATTCTAAATTCTGGATAATTCATGCCTGGATTGAATTATGTTAGGTTGCCTACTTAGCATACTCTTTTCTTAATGTTTGTTTGCGCATGCGAGAGTATATCTGTGGCCTGAACTATAGATCTTGGTGAACCTCAGCCATTGGGCTGCCCTCCATGCGAAGAGCCAACAGTACTCACCCGGTACTTACTGATGTTATGCCTCTCCACACATGCACCTTTCATGCAGAACCTCCCTTCTCCACAGCTGGTGCCATCAGCCCAAGGGAAGTGACGGGTCTGGCACATGATGTGACCGCGAGCCTTCCCAGTGCACCAAAGCTTGGTGCAGTATTGCATGTATGGACAAGGCTTGGAGCCAATGCCAAAGGCCAGCTCACACTGCTGATTGAGGTTGTAGCTGGAACCGGGAAGTTCCTGGGGCAAGGAGATCGGTTTGGTGGGTTGGTCCAAGAGGCAATCACCTGGAGAAGACAGAGGAATACAATGGGAGGTCAGGGCACCATCCATAGCAATAGCACTTACACTTATATACCACTTCATGGTACTTTATAGCACTCGCTGAGTGGTTTACAAATGTCAGCCTCTTGCCCCCCAACAATCTGAGTCCTCATTTTACTGATCTCAGAAGGATGGAAGGCAGAGTCAACTTTGAGCCAGTCAGGATCAAACTCCTGGCAGTGGGCAGAATCAGCCTGCAATACTGTGTTCTAACCACTGAGTCACTATGTGTCAGGGTTCCAAGTAATAATCCCATATCAAGCAAAACTCCGAGGCAGGCGAAGTCCTCAAGGAATAGCTTTATTGGAAATATGATATTGGCACAAATCTAGTGGAACCCGACTTTAAAAGGTTCCCACGGTTTTCACCTAATTAAAAGTTTATCACTTCCCCCAAACCCTCAGCCACAAGGTCCAATCAGCATGCAGTCCAGTTGCTAGAGAACCACAGTCTCCTCCTTCTGAACACCTGCAGGAGTGTCCTTGGTTCCCAAGGGAAGGCATTTTGTTTTGGCTACAGCACCCCAGCTATCTCTATTCCCCCCCTCCCTATCCCTCCGCTCTGGTATGTGTCAGCACTGAAGCGGGAAAATAAAAAAAAATGGCCTCAGTTCAGCCAACTTCAAGAGTTGACACTATGGCTCTGTAGCATCAAGACTATTTCGCTTTCTTTGGTACCAATACTAGTCACAATGGTGCCAGAGGTGACAACACAGTGGTTAGGATTTACATCTTTAAATTGTGAGCTGATTTGGATATATAGGTTGGAGGTTGGCACTGAAATCTGATATAATTCCCTTTTTTTAAAAAAAGAAAAAGAAAAGAAAAATTCTTCAGGCAAGGAAGAGTACAGTTGACCTGCCGCCATACAATTCCAGATCCTTCTAAAATGGGTGTTCTGAGTTAGATTCAGCCGTAACATTTCTAATGATTTACAGCTTTCCAAGTGTAAATTGTTAGTAAAAGTAGAGGAGTGAGCCAAAACAGCTTGATCGGGTGATTATTCTATTTTTCTAGACAGCTGGTTTTAAGAACCTCCACCACCCTCCAGGTTTAACTTCTCTAAGGGACTCAGTTTCTCTACGCTCCTAAGAGTAGATTCACATAAACATCTTGATAGCATAAGATCAAGCGTTAAAAATGTGCAGAAACTATCCGAGATGCTTACAAAAATCTTGATGAAAGGGTTTTGCTTCCCTTTCTCCAAAAAGATTTGTCTCTTTCTCTCCCTCTCTTTTAATTAAAGGAAGAATCTTAATATTTCAGGGGTATTTGGTAGCAAAACGAATATCCAAATTAAAGGGAAATTCTTTAGTAATTCCAAATCTGGATTTAATAAAGTCACAAGTCTAATACTGTGCTTGTATATAGCAATAGCAATTGCATTTAGATTTCACAGTGGTTTACAGAATCAGCCTCTTTCCCCCAACAGCAGGGGTCCTCATTTTACCAACCTTGGAAGGATGGAAGTATGAGCCAACCTTGAGCCTGTGAGAACTGAACTGCTGAACTACAGACAGACAGGAATCAGCAGAAGTAGCCTGCAGTACTGCATTCTGACCACTGCGCCACTACGGCTCATATCACCCTGAGTCTTAAGGAGGTTGGCGTAGTTTTGACTTAGCAGTGTCTAGTGTTTTATAAACCATGATTTATGGCTTTGTATTCAGTGTAAACCCATTGTAGCTTATTAACAAACCATTGTTAGAACAAAAGCCAGCTTAATACAGTACATGAAGCCAGTCTGAAAATGTATTATGTCACCAGCTCTCGACTCCAACAGGAATTCCATTACTGATGAACAAAAGATGATATCTAGATTACATCTTGATTATAGTATCTGCTCATGTCTTGGGTGGTCTCAGCTTTAAGATTTGGAGAATCCCACAGAGAAATTCTGTTTGTTTAATTGATTGTTGCTGGATGCTCCAGCATAACGTACACTCCAAGATTTGTCCTGAAATCCCACATTAGCACACTATAAAAAAGTTGAACTCCACTGGGTAGCCTTTGTCACAATTACTTTGGCTGAGACTCATTGCCACCAAGAAGGACATAAACTCAGATTATCTGAGGCAAGAAGTGTATTATAATATACTTGTGCAAACATCAGCAGTGACTAACCACAATAATTTACTATTCCAAAGTAAATCAATGTCAGAGTATATTCATGAACTGGAATAGAGCTTAGTTAACAAGGTCAGCCAATGAGAGCTGAACTGAGGGCTGAAATTTAAAGAGAGAATCTGAATGTGGTTTATCTCTGTTCTGTACTCAGTTCTAAAATGAAAGAGAAACTAACTTGCTTGCTGAAAACTAGAGCTCTGCTCTGAACTGGAGCTGTAACATGCCTGCTTCTGTTTGAGTTTGCTCCATGTTGGAGAAATCTACAACTGGTATTGTAAAATTTACTTTATATGTTTATAAAGAAGTTAAATGAAGCCGCAGCCATCTGTGTTTACTTTTCTGGTGCTGAATTTACGCTGTAATACTCTGAACAATCAAGATGACAAAAGATGGCTTCTGGAGTTGAACGCCTTTCCTTTCTTCTAAGTAGGTATCATTTCACAGCTACCATTCTGATTTGTCAATCTCCATTTCAATGACAAGGGTATTTACCAGCCTGTTACCAGACACACATCCATAGTCTCTAACTCCCGTCTCTCTTTCACATATCTATCTCCTCTCTTTTCCTCACCATGTCCGCTGTCCAGGAAGTCAGTGATGATGGCCGTGCTACAAGGGGACCATGGGTTGATACGGTCAATTTGGATGAGAGTGGGAGACATCATATGGTTGGTCTTTAGTTTACCAAAGACTTCTTCACAAGCCTTCACATTGTCATGGGGCATGTTGAACACATGGCCTAGAAAGAGAGAGTTATGATTTGAAAATTGCAGGCAGCATTCTGGCACTTCCCGAGAAATAAAATTAGCAATGAATAGAAGTGTTTGTTAGTTTCTCCTTTCCACATGCTGTTTCTTCTTCCTGAAACCTTTTTTTTTCCCTTTATGCAAAATGGAAGATGGTAGAGAGTGAACTTAAGTCCTGTTCAATCAAGAACAGTGCTTGTGTTCATCATCATGGTTAATTTGGTTAATGATTAAATCAGGGGTGTCAAACTCAAGGCCTGGGGGGGGGGGCAGATCCGAACCATGAGGTGCTTAGATCTGGCCCACAGGGCCACCCTGGAAACAGCAAAGGATTGGCCCGTGGTGCTTCTGCCAGCAAAAATGGAGCTTGGGAGGGCTACGGGCGGCCCTCCCAAACTCCATTTTTGCTGTCAAAGGGTTGCAGGAGTCCATTGCAGCCAAAAACAGAACTCAGGAGCTCATTTTCACTGGCAAAATGCTCGGGCCACCACAGGCACCTGACATGAGTGACGTTGAGCTGGCCATGCCCCACCCCCAGCTCCCCGAAGATCAAACACAACCATGATGCAGCCCTCAATGAAATCAAGTTTGACAACCCCTGGATTAAACCAATTTTCTTATCTGAACTGGTCAAATTCAACTCATTCATATATATTACGGAAGGAGTCATCAAGGGGTTTAAAAGGAAGTCTCTTTTATGCTGTCCCGCAATAGTATGGACACGAGATATCAAGACTTGAGCAGGCCACAAGACAAATCTGTTGGACTTGGCATGGTCTGGAGGCTTTATCAAGTTTTCATTTATGACCTCTACCTCCTGTTTGCTTTTTCTTCCGTAATCCATGAAAGAAGTGACCTCTGTTGCATACGGCTTTGCAAGGGCCCGCAGCAAGACTGTTGTACTCTACACTCCCTTTCCTAGGTCCACAAACATCTTCCTTCTCATGTTCTAATCAGGTTGTCCCTCAAAGGCCAATAAATTTACAACAGATGCAGTGTGCAATTCCTGCCAGCAAGACCTGCAAGCCAGCAATTTTCTTTGCCAAGACTCACACCATTTACTATGTGTGCAGATACTTGTCCTTTTCAATGTCTGGAGGGCGAAAAAAATGAGAAACAGGGGAGGAGAAGAGAATTTCTTATTCAAATTCATAGCTATTCTGGGTGGGACATCTGAAAGCAGGCCACAGACATACTGGGACTTAGTGGAAGAACTTCTAATTAAATTAGGCCAGAAATGAACTATATTTGTTTAATGTAATTTCAGAATATTGACTGTCCTCCTGCTAGATTAAGTGGTAAACTATCTCACCCAGCACTCTGCTTCTCACGAGGATTGACCTATTCCCTTGTTTCTTCTTCCTGGGTTTTCCCACAAGGGAAGGGTCTGGTTTTGTTTTTTTCAGATCAGATGAGTATTAATCTGAGAGAGAGTGACTGAACCAAAGTCACCCAGCCATCTTTTATTTCTAAAGTGGGACTAGAACTCACAGTCTCCTGACAATTGGGCCAAAGTCATCCAGCAGTCTTCTATGTTTAAGGTGGGACCAGAACTCACAGTCCTGATGATTGGTCCAAAGTGCCAAGATGGGACAACCCTGGTCTAAAGACAGGATAATCCAAAATGTACAGTCTTCACAATTTTGGGGTTGGCTTTATTCAGACATTACATGGTATCTATTGCTCACGGTGATAGTTGACTCAGTGAAGAGATTGTCCTACAAGGAAATGCAGCTGAATGTCATCCAGCCTGGGTCACTCAGATAAAAGCACCAACAACCCTGGAGGCAACCATGAAAAGACAGCAGAGGGCTTTGCCATGAGTTGGTCTACCCTAGCCAGAGGAATCTAATTTGCAGTGAAACCATTTCTAATTTTGGGAGCTATTTTGAATTGGAATGATTTGGTCCTCCAAACCCCAAATCCTCTTCCTGCTTTGTAAATGAAAACCAAGCCATTTGGTTGTCACTTCAGGAGACACTCTGGCGGCTCTGGATCGAGGTGTGTGTCTAACGCATCCCAGCAATTACATATTATTTCAGGATCTCAAAAGCCTGGGAATAGAACAGTCAGCAACGAAGAGTCCTCCGCTTGGGATTCCTCCTCTTTCGAACAGCTGTTCTCCAGCAGTTCCAACTGAGCCTTCCCGTGGCACAGGGAATAAAATTGCAGGCTGTTGCTCTCTTTTTCCTCCACAAACATATATATACATGTTCATTTACAAGGCTGCGTTTCCCACAAAACTATTCTTAAACTTTTGCTATTGTCAAGACTTCCTGAACCAAGTACTGGGATTTATTTTAAACGTCAAACTTCTTTCCTTAATTAGAGAGAGAATTCTTCTGTTAAAAATGGATTCAATCCACGCACCCCTCCCTCCGTTTCCTTGGCAAAATCTGTTTGGCAGGTGTCAACTGCAGGTGTGGGCTCTGCCTCTCAGCTGTGGCTTAAGTGACCACTTCCAAAGTCGCTGGCTGATGGATTGAAACTGCTGGCCAAGAATGGCCTGCCAAACATCGGAAGGAGAGCATGCAAAACCAGGCAGATGCAAAGCATAACCTGCCAATGACTTGAATGCTGCTGGATTCAAAGGCTTAAACCGGCTGACTTGCAACCAGCTTTTGGAGATCTGGGTTCTCCCAGTTCCCGATCTCCTGTTTCTTCCTTTTCTAACTATAGGTGACCATCCCAAAAGTCATTGAACTGAAATGCCACAAAGACTGTTGGATTACAAGGCTGGTATCTCTGAAGGTGAGGAGGACCATGAGAAGAATCCCTACAGCAGGGGTGTCAAACTTGATTTCATTGAGGGCCGCATCAAAGGGCTGTGTTTGACCTCAGGGGACTGGGGTGGGTGTGACCAGGGAGGGAATGGCCAGCTTGATTTGGGGGGCACCTGTAGTGGCCCGAGTGCTCTGCCAATGAGCTCCATTTTCGGCTGCAACGACCTCCTGCAAGCCTCTGCCAGCAAAAACGGAGCTCCAGAGGGCTGCCCGTGGCCCTCCCGAGTTCCATTTTCACTGGCAGAGGCTCCATGGGCTGGTTGTTCACTGTTTCCAGGGTGGCCCTGCAGGCTAGATCTAAGCACTCCATGGACCAGATCCAGGGGTGAGATTCAAAAATTCCAGCAAGTGGTTCTCTGCCAGGTTCCTGGGTGGGTGTGGGCATGATCTACTGGAACTTCCTGTTTCCAGTTTCCGGTGAACCTCCAGGGTCTGGGGGAAGCCATTTTCACCCTCCATGGGTCCGGAGGCCTCCCTGGGCCTCTGGAAGGGCAAAAACAGCCTCCCCTGGGCTCTGAAGACCCACCGGAAGCCAGAAACAGACCCATTTCACGACTTCCAGAAAGCCAATTTTTCCCCCTCCCGGAGCCTCTGCGTGGCCCCTGTCCTTACCTCCATCAAAAATGGGCCACATGGAGACTTCTGGGAGGGGAGGGGAGGGGTGGGTGGGGCCAGCCAGGTGGTTGAAATACCAGTTCAGCAAACCAGATGCAACTTTAACATCCATTTGCCTGAACCAGTCCGAACCAATAGAATCCCACCCCTGGCCAGATCCACCACCACCCCCTCAGGCCTTGAGTTTGACACCCCTGCCCTACAGGGATATTGTTTTAGTCTTTGTAATCTTCAGACGTTTTTTTTTTTCTTTGAATTTATTCTTACCCAACCTTTATTATTTTTATAAATAACTCAAGGTGATGAACACACCTAATATTCCTTCCTCCTCCTATTTTCCACACAGCAACAACTCTGTAACCCAGGTTGGACTGAGAAAGATTGCCTCAAAACTACCCAGCCAGCTTTCAGATTTAAGGTGAGATTAGAATTTACAGTCTTCTGAAGATTAGCCCAAAGTCACCCATTTGTCATTCATGTCTAATGCAGGACTAGAACTCCCAATCTCCTAGTGATTGGCCCAAAATCATCCATCCATCTTTCCTGCTTAAGGCGGGGCTAAGAAACCACAGACTCCTGATGATTGGCTAAAAGTCACCCAACCAGCTTTAGATGTCTTCTAAGTCTTCTCTCTCGTCTTTCTCTCCTTTTCGGAAGCCTTACCTAGCTCATCATCCTCTTTTAACGACCCCATAATCCCTTGCAGGCTGGAGTCTGAGCAACTGAATGGAGCAGAGTGTTTTAATGGCCGGATACCCTTCCTGTTGCCAATGAGGAGTCTTGTTCAGCAGATATATTGTCACTGTGCCCAGAGAGAGAAATATCTGCCTCTACCCAAGGTCGAACTCCTTACCTAGCTCATGAGCTGTAGTAAAAGCAGAAGGAAGACCATCATCCTCAATGACGGAGCAACTGCGTTTGGGGTCACACATGGTGCCGACATCCGCCATTCCCAAAGTGTCACAGGTTGTAGCACCACACAAATCCTGCCAGGAACAAGAGACTATTCTTTAATCTCAACAGTTTGTTTGTTTGTTTTAATAATTTAGAATGTTACATAGAGACAATTTGGTTGTTACAGCCAAAATGCTTCCCAAATATCCATTTGTTTGGACTGGTTTCAACTTCAAAGGCAGACTTTTGAAGCAGTTCTAGCCATCTGTTTTATCCATTTACAATAGAATAGAATAGAATAGAATAGAATACTTTATTGGCCAAGTGTAATTGGACACACAAGGAATTTGTCTTGGTGTAAATACTCTCAGTATACATAAAAGAAAAGATACGTTCGTTAAGAATCAAGAATCATAACATACAATACTATGATAGTCATTGGATACAATCAGCAATCAAATCAAATCAGGATTCAAGTGACAAAGTTACAGTCCTACAATCACAAGTGGGAGGGGATGGGTGATAAGGAGTGATGAGAAGATTAACAGTAATAGTAGTATACACTTTGTAAATAGTTGAACAGTGTTGAGGGAATTATTTGTTTAGCAGAGTGATGGCTTTCGGGGGAAAAACTGTTCTTGTGTCTAGTTGTTCTGGTGTGCAGTGCTCTATAGTGTTGTTCTGAGGGAAGGAGTTGAAACAGTTTATGTCCAGGATGTGAGGGGTCTGTAAATATTTTCACAGCCCTCTTTTTGATTTGTGCAGTACACAGGTCCTCGACTGAAGGCAGGTGGATAGTAATTGTTTTTTCTGCAGTCCTAATTATCCTCTGAAGTCGGTGTCTGTCCTGTTGGGTTGCAGAACCAAACCAGACAGTTATAGAGGTGCAGATCATAGACTCAATAGTTCCTCTGTAGAACTGGATCAGCAGCTCCAGTTGATAACAGGAATAATAATGAAGAATATCTCAGGATACAATTCTGCATACACCTAATGTATCTGTGAATAAACCTTGTTAAATTCAATGGAACTTAATTCTAAATAGATTTGCTTCTTTGCTTATTTATACTGATTTCCTGAACTTTCAGCCATAAAGCTTCCAATAGTAACTTAAAAACAATCCATACAAGAAGCCCATTTGCAAATAGATGGATTGCCTTTGGTAAAGATTGTCAAGGAGTTGCTGAACACCCCTGAAAAAGCTTTTATTCTGGATATCTAAACTGAACAAGAATTTAATCTCTGATCTACAAGATCGTTCAAGCCCTTCTGATTATGTTTGGTCTTTGACGCACCAAATTACTGACATTTTACTCTGAAGAACTGCAGTTAACCATGGTTGACTTCTAGATATTTATCAGCACAGAGATTTTTACTTGAGATGAAGAGTTACGGGTGACAAGAAGAAGCTGAAGTCACCATCATCCCATATTTGAAAGTCTGAGTAGGAAGGGACTAGAAGATGACCTTGGACCCTTCCAGCTCTATTCTATTCTATTCTATTCTATTCTATTCTATTCTATTCTATTCTATTCTATTCTATTCTATTCTATTCTAGTCCAACCTCCTGTTCAAGCAGGAGACCCTATACCATTTTAGACAAATGGTGTTGAGTCCCTTAAAAGTCTCTAGTGATAGAGCATCCACAACCTCTGGAGGCAAGCTGTTCCACTGGCTGATCATTCTTACTCTCAGGAAATTTCTCCCAACTTCTAGGTTGCTTCTCTTGTTGATTAGTTTCCATCCATTGCTTCTTGTTCTGATTTCAGATGCTTTGGAGAATAGCTTGGTCCCCTCTTCTTTATGGCAGCCCATCAAGTATTGAAACATTGCTATCATGTCACCCACTAGTCCATTTTTTTCACTAGACTAGACATACCCAATTCCTGCAAATGTTCTTCATACGTTTTTACCCTCAGCCCCCTCCAATCACCTTTGTCGTTCTTCTCTGCACTCTGCATGCAGTATTTCAAGTGTGGTCTTACCAAAGCATTATAAAGCGGTAGGATCATTTCTTGTGATCTTTCACAAGAAGTGATCTTTCTTTCCAAGAGACTCAAGAATATACTCGGGATCTCAAACTATCTAGGAAGGTATGCCTATGTAGAGTGCTGTTGGCTCATTGTAGCTGCAGCAACTCCTGAAAGAAGGTATATTACTTCTAAGAAGTGAGAATAATGGTGTAGACAGATATGTCATGAATTTAGTCCCGTGTTAAATAGAGCATATAAAAATAGGCATATTCACTGGAAGGCAAAATTAGAAAATTCCACCTTACTTCTTTTGGCCATGTCATGCAATGAAACTCACTGGAAAATTTATGCTTGGAATGGTCAGTGATAAAAGGAAATGAGACCGCCAAAAAACACAGCGGCTAGACTCCATCAAAGCTGTCACCAGCCAGAACATAAATCGACTGAAAGAAGTTGTACAAAATTGGAAAATGTAGAGAGAGTTGATCCATAGAATCACCAAGTCTCAGACATGATTGAATGGATAGCATCATGATCAACAAGACTGCTTTGAATGCCAAAGCTCCAAAATGTGAATGCAATCGAAAATGATTTCATACCTTATTCAGAAACAAACCCAGTTTATTTTGAATACATTTGCATCAGAGTCAGCCACAGTTACCTGTCTCACAACCAAAGACCAAACTAAGAATTCCACTTCCTGCAATTCCAGCCCATCCAGCGGACATCAAGTTGCAACCCACTGATATACCTCCTAGCTTATAGCAATAGCCAAGGCACTTAGACTTATATACCACTTCACAGTGCTTTACAACACTCTCTGGATGGATTGCAGAGTCAGCATATTGCCCCTCAAATGTCTGGGTCCTCATTTTACCAACCTCGGAAGGATGGAAGGCTGAGTCAACCTTGAGCTGGTCAGGATCAAACTCCTGGCAGTGAGCAGAATTAGCCTGCAGGATTGCATTCTATCCATTGTGCCACCAAGGCTCCTTATTGCCCAATCATGCTTTACAGCTAAATGGCAATCCTATTAATGCTGGGATTAGGTGGACCTGTGAAAAATGCTCATAACTATGAGTTTCTGACAGGCTTGACAAAGGGGGAGGGAGGAAACCTTTCCTAGTGAAGAATACTAGGAGAAAAGTCATGAGCAATGCAGTATGAAGTCATGAGAAGAAACTGAGAACATAGTTGAAGAATTGAGAAAGAGACAAACATTTCACTGTGCCAGAAACAGAAGTATGGCAAGTTAAATTTCAATGCTCAAAAAGCATCTCTTGGTGGAAGCCAATTGACAAGGTAATACCGGCCAAACTTTTGGTTGTTCTTCATCATGCTGAGTGGTGCTCTTAATGTTCCTTGAATGTGATGCCAATAATTCAGCTAAAATCATTCAAACGGGACAAAAATCATTTCCCCAGCTGAAAACCTGAAAATGAGCTACATTTTTTACATTTATTGTATTACCCGTTCTAGGTTTGAAAGCTTCATGCCAAGATCGGCAAAGCTGGAAAAGATTCAAACCAACCACTCCCATACCCAACATCAAGCAGAACATAAGGGAACCTTGCCACATCCCATTCTTACTGCTGCTGGGATCCAGGATTGACATCACATCCTGAAGAAGTCAATCCACAAACTGGAGCATGGACAGGATTGTTATGTTCTTATTACAAATTGCTTCCATAACCTCTTGTTCAAAAGCAACACGAAAGAGCTCCAGGCCATATCCTGCAAGACTTGAGACACATGTTGGGATGAAAAGAAACTTCTGGGAAATGAGAAAGTGGGGAAATAAGAAACTCAAAATAACTCCATCTTGAGTGAGTTCAATATAGGTTGCACTAGAGAGAAGATTTGACAGACTTTACATATCATGCTACAATAGCCTGCCTAAAATAGATTCCAAGATTCCTAGCCCCTCTCGTTTCTTGACCTTGACACCCTTGGAAGGCTGACAATGTTTGATCTCTATCAATCTCAGCAATCTAGCAAAGAAATCTGCAGAGGACTTGGACTATAGGAGAGACAGGGAGAACTGGCCATAATGTCCATAATTATGAAAAGAATTAAGATTGCACAGTCAGGATGTCTACAAAACAATCAGCACAAAGGTCCTTGTATGGCTTGCAGATATGATGTGATCATCACCAAACCATGCAGGGTAAAACTGATTTACAAAAGTCAAAGTGGAATAGCACAAGGGTTGTGTGCTAAACATTTAAATGCTCTTTCTGATCCCTTGCAGTCTAATAGGGGGGGGAAATACTTTTTTTTTTTTTTTTTTGTCTCAAAGGAGAAGTGTATTTTGGTGAAATATTTATGGGTATAGGAATCTTGCAAATGACCTTAGGCAGCTAAGCAAGATGCCTGTGTCCAGTTATTGTTGATCCAACAATCTTCCATCTTCCCAGTTTTCCATACTTCAATTCAGTCCCAAGGGAAACCATCATCGGTTTGCAACCCTAAAATAAATGTAGACACATCATTACAAAAAAAAAATCTGAAAGAAATATTGAAGCACCCTGAGAATCAGAAAAGGGGGACAGGAAGCTGGGGAAGAAGAAAACTTGGAGAAATTTGGATAGGTTTTGTAATGGAATCAACTACATTTAGCTTTCACATCATCAATCAGCTAAAATTTCTGCCAAAATAGGTACACAATTGACATCCCACTGACTAAGATATCATATTTCATGTTTCCTGCAACAGGCTCATAAATCAACCCCTAGTGAAAAGATGTCTAAAAATGTAGCCAGAATTGCTCCATGCATCCTTGCTCCCTTCCTCTTCTCCATGGCCATCTCAGAAATGCCATCGAAGGGGAAATGCAGGCAGGCTTACATCATCTTTATAAAAGACACATTTTGTAGCCAGCACGCTCCTTTGTGGTAGATGTAAATCAACCAGAGCAGATGATCTGGCACTCGCTTTTGGACAAAAAAATATATATATAAAAATAAAAAGAGGAAACTAACCTGTCTGAGAAGCCAAGAAACATCTTCTCCTAGGCAACTGCTGATCCTTAAGAGGAAGCTAGCAGTATAGGTCCCCGCATGGGGAAATCAGATGGAGAGAGTCTTTTGAGTTTTAAGCCAACATCCGGATAAAAAGGA